CACGACTGTCAGTAGAATTCCCTGTGCAAATGAAAGAAATCTGCGGAGTTTACTCCCAGTATTTCAGTATCTCAGTTATGAGCAGAATAGAGAGCTGAGACAGTGTCAAGTAAAATCATTATTTATTCATTGAATATGAAGGTAGGTATTGTGAATAATTTATTTGGGGTTTTCCCTTTTTTTAACTTCATCGTAAACTTGCGATTTAAGAGGACTAATAATATGTGTACTTATACATGATCCAAGTAAGACGGATGTGACCAGGTGATATGAGTCGAGGTGTTCCCACACATAGGCAAAAACAATTAGGTCATTTCGTCCAAATTGTTACACTTTCTGCCGGTAAAAATAATACGCTATTTTCCCGTACCAAAGTGGGTCAAGACGACCCACACAGGGGAAGGAATTCTTTCGCTATTTAGACACAATCTCACATATATACATTGATGTTTTTTCCGTCTTCAAAGTCTCAATCACTAATAATGTAAAGGAAATTAAGATGAATGAGAATTGCTGTGCAAAAATGACAATTGCCGTCCATGCGTATTTGTGAAACATTAAATAAATGAAGGAGCTCAGCTCAGCCGTCGAGAAATTCACAACGCCATTTTACAAACAAAATTAATTATTCATCATCATAAAAATTATTAACTAAGGACATTTATATCATATTTAACTTAAAATATTATATTATTTATCCTACGCTTTATCTAAATTAACATTCTTATAAACACTTCTGCCATTGCTATTTTAATATCACCAGTAGAACCTTAACAAACCCAGCCATTTTGCACCCAAAAAAAGAAAAGCATCCAAGCTCGTAACACCAAATCAACTCAACACAAACACACCATCGTCATCGTCATCACTATCTCATGTAGCGTACAGAACCTCTAATTAAAGCAGCCAACTTTAAGTCATCTCACTGACTTTGTATAAAAATAAAGAGGAAGGATTTTTGTGAGCGGCAATCCAATGAATTGCTCTGAAAATTGCAAGGATTTTACAAAACTCGTTAACGAGCTGCCTCCGTTTTATGCGCGGTAGCACAAGCAGTTCTGGTCCCTGTGGCCGGGGCGCACAACGATTATTTTCGCTTGAAATCCAAACTCCAGGAAATCTGAATACGCTTTATGAGATTCCGCGCGTCCAACTCAGCTTTATAACAGATTTTAAAACTGCATATTTTGTAATTTAACCTTTAAAAAGCTTCAAGTATTCGATAAATAGAATTCTTCGAGATGGATCATAACATTGAAGCAAAGTATATGTAAATCATATGGAAATATACTTTTATTTAAATATGTTTGACAGAATCTAAAATTTTTGAAGCAGTCCTGGGCATGAACGCAGGCAAGTGGTGCGATTGGAGCTGGGATGCCAGCCTTAGATTGCAGCCTTGATTTCCCTTTGTTTTTACCGCCCTTTAAAATCAAGCATTTCCCGCCAAAAAAGGCCTGAGGAGCAATTTTTAACGGCATTTCCAGATCCTGCAAATTCTTGTCCACGTCCCTGTGGTTTTTTGCGAAGGAATTAAGTTATTTTAGAACGTTTTTATTGTATTTTGTTGGTAGAAATCAGGACTTTAAGTAGCGCTATCTGGTAGTCGCCAGACAATCTCGAATGAATTCCAATTTAGCGCAGAGCTTTGATGCGTTCACGTCAGCTTTGTGCACATGCAGCCGTGTTCACATGCTGAAGCTATAAATATTCCGTAGTGTTACAAAACGTGAAATTATTAAAATACAAATTAGGATGATTCTAAGAAGAGAAGTATGAATAATGTAACTGAAAGACTAAGAATTAAATTAACAGAAGACGTGAAATAATATTAATATGATGAGGACGAAATATATATCCGCCTAAGAAAAATTGTCAGTAATTTCAAGGGGAAATATTAAAGAACGAAAAAAAGCGATGAAGTGAAGTTAAACATTCAATGTTGATTATTTCATTGTGAATTAAATATCTCACACTAACTTATCACTAAAAACAATTTGGCGTTAAAGTCGAGCTCGTAGAAGAAAGTCTCGATGCCTGAAAGTCTTTTTATAATTAACTGACAATATTAGCCAGACATGCATATTTTATATATACATATTACCTAACTATATTACCTTGCAAAAAGCTGAATATTTGTTTATCCTACATTCTGGATGTTTAAAATTATTGTTCAAGCATCACGGTCGTTAAGTAACGCTGTTGTTCCAAAAACGCTGTTTTCAGGAAAGGATAAGAATATCGCGGCTGAATGTTAACGCAACCTTAATGTATAGCTGCTACAAAGACACTTCGCTGAATCTTCGTTGATCACCGGTGATCTACTTCAACTCAAGTTGTATTTTTTAGTTGTTATATTAATGCTGATGAAAACATGAAAAGACGATGAAATCATTAGAATACCGGGGAAATTCTTTTCCGGATCTTATAACAGGAAAGGTTAAAATGTCAAGAATGTTTATAAGTTACTACATATCAAATGGTATGAATGTAAAAAATCGTAATTTCACGTAATAAATGCTTTTATTATAGGGTAAAATTAAAACAGAAAAATGCAACAGAGTAATTTGGCGTTGTACTATTGATTTTAACTTGTCTATTTCTGTCACATTTCAATTTTTCTTTACAAATATAAAAGAAAAATGAAAGCGCAACGAAACTCCCCACAAAGCCCCATCAGGCGTGCCACGTCCTCACAACTTTCCAGCAATTCCCCCAACTCCCTCAACTTCCCCTCGATCAGCCGCGGCTCGTAAAAACTCCAGCCCCAAATCCCACAAATCCCCAACAAATCCTGCAGTTCTGAGCACAAATCCCCAGCGCTGGAGATTTGCTGGATTTGCGCGAATCCGCCACGATTTGCACCATCTCGATTGTTCTCCTGTTTTCTCTTTGTTTGCGAGTTTTTTCTCTTATGATGGCACTTGAAAAATATTTTTCTTGCCCTGCTTGAGCGTTCGACTTTAATTCAAGTTTTGTATTAAACTTAAATTTCACTTTCACGTTCCACTTCAGTATAGCTTCTTGTGTTCGACATTAATTTCACTCATACATTAAACTTCTGCCATATATTATGGTTTTGTCTAATTTCACTTACACGCCTCACTTCAATTTTGCGTCGGTATTCACATGCATTCTACTAATACTTAACTTTAATTTCATGGTTAATTTCAGCAACAATTTTGTAGAGGCCTTTGATTAAACGTTATTTTATAGTTTGATATTAGGCTTTTCTTAAATAAATGTGTTGTCAATTTAGAATTCATCAGTGTAGGAATTGTAAGAATGTTTCAGATAATATTGGCACTGGAGTCAGAGATTGCGGTTAGGAAAATGTAACAGTAAGAACGTGGTCTTGAAAGCAGCATCGTGTTGTTAGTAGAGCTTGTCCCTCAGACTGAAAGCTAATCGCTGCCCATTTGTCGAGCCATGAAAGTGAACAAGTGCTACAGTTCTCATGCTTGAAGAAAACTTTTAATGTAATGTGATGCCTCGTGCAATAAATAATTTTACTGTAACTGTGGTTCAATGAACACCTACGGAACCAACAATGAACACTGAGCCTACTCGCAACAATTTCATTTCCAGGTTCCGCTCAAACCTCAACTTTACGTTTCAATTCATTTTTGCGATCAAAATAATTACTCCAAGTAATATAATTTCTCAAAGTAATAAAAATATACATCTCCGCTTCAATAGTTGATAAGAGAATTCTTTCATGAATTTGTTTTGTTTTCAACACGTATAATTCGGATATTTTTCCATGCAAAATAGTAACTACAGAAAAATTGTAGTGCCAAGGAGATGCGAAAATTTTTAGGATACACCATTCCTATTTTCTGAATTGATTTCTTGAACATCAAATAGAGTTATTATAGGAGTTTTCCCTCACTTTTGAAAGTGATTTTAGATATACGAAAAATGTATAGTGACCTGCATGTTAAAATTTATAGTAAACTGCGAAAAACACATCAATGGGAATCTAAATGCAATCATATAAGCAAAATAAATATACCAAGCTTTGAATTTTAGGATAAAATAAGGATTAATTTTATCGAGAAAGTAAAAATTTGCGTCAAAGTTTAAAAAAAAACGTGTAAACGCCAAGAAATTGGTCGCTCGCTTGCAGCTAAACTGGTCGTCGTCGCCGACATTTTTATTCTGCACTTTTTGTTGTCGCAAGATTTTTCGGTTTGTTTTTCCACGTTAAGCAGGAGCGCAGGCCGTCAGTTAAGTAGGAGGCTTGTGTGTCCGTTAAGTAGGAGGCTGAGGCGTCATTTCGAAGCTCATTAGTTAGACGCCACAAAACGAGTTGTCTTTTGGACGGACCTTGTTTAGTGGAAGTGGAGGGCGGTGGAAGTGGAGGGGCTTGGAAAGTGAACTTTTGCAGACAGTGAAGTGATGTTGGAATCGGATTGCAGTGGAAGTGAAGTGACATTGAAAGTGAAAATATGCTTGAAGTGAAATTTTAATCGGGGCTTGGTTGATTTACCAGTTTGGAACTAGATTTTCTTGAATTGGATATAGTTTAGTAAAATCTTACGATTGCTCCATTTGAATTTCCTAAAAATGTTAATTCACAGAATATGCGTAATTGTAATTTTTAATAATTTCTGAAGTAATGAGGCATTTATATTTTTATTTAATATTGACTTCGACACCAGAGAACAAAAAAAATTCCTCTGCCCGATTAAATTATAAATAGCGGCTTCAAATTCAGCTGACGTATATTTTACGATCTCATTCCTCCCACACCTCCGTCTTGAGTTCAATCCCCTCCTGCGAAGACAATGGGGAAGCAAAGACTTCCTTGAGTCTGGAAGATTTGGGTGAAGAATCCAGGGGATTTCGACTGGGGTCTGTGATGCCGGTGATGGATTAACAGGGTGGGGATTTTTTGCGGAGTCATTGTGGCTTTGGCTGATGAGTTTTCTGTAATGAATTTGTACCCTGAAATGATTAATATGCAATACTAACGTGTTTGTGTCATGTTTGTGCAGGAGAGAAGCCACACAAGTGCACGGTGTGCGGCAAGGCTTTCTCACAGTCCTCGAACCTGATAACTCACAGCCGCAAGCACACCGGCTTCAAGCCCTTCTCCTGCGACCTTTGTGGACGCGCGTTCCAGCGCAAAGTGGACTTGCGGCGCCACAAGGAGACCCAGCACACTGACCTCAGGGGGGACCTCAGAGGCCAGGTGGATCTTAGGAGTCAAGGGGACCTTAGGGGTCAAGTGGATATTAGGGGTCAAGTGGACCTCAGGAGTCAAGTAGACCTTAGGAATCAAATGGACCTTAGAGTTCAGGGAGATCTCAGGGGTCAAGTGGACTTGAGGGCCCAAGCGGTCGATCTTAGAAACCCGGTGGACCTGAGGAACCAGGCTTTGGAGCTAAGGAACCAAGGGGATATCCGAACAGCGGGTGATTTGGAGAATGTGGGGGATTTAAATGGCCAGGCTCCGGAGTTGAGAAATCAAGAGGAGTCGCAACCTCAGGACTTTAAAAATCACCAGGATACGCAAATCAAAATGAACCACCAGGATATACGGACGGAAAATCCAGAAAGAAATCAAAGGCAGGCGGATAGCATCAGATCCTCGCCAGACAGTGGGGATTTGAAATCTTCTCTTCGTTTTGATAACCGATTAAGCCAAGTCGGATACCGGGATGTCATTTCCGACAACGTCACCAAAAAGTCAACTACAGAAAACGACAACGAAGATGAGAACGTCACGTCTGTTTCACCTTTAAAACTAACAGAAGCCTCTGAAAAGTCCCTGTTCGAACCCCTATCATCTTACGGGCATGCATCTTCTTATGAAACTACCGATTCGTCTGTTCGAAAATCTGGGGACTCTAAAACGTTCCCATTTTCATCGGCAATGCGTGCATCAAATAACGCAAACTTACTGTCAAAAACGGTAAACTTCCCATTTCCAGCCTCAATTTCTTTAATGCCATTCACTTCCGTCTCGCATTTCCCTACGTACAACGGGATTAACGGGTCTGGGTCAACAGGCTCCCCCAACATCGAAAACGCCAAATATAACGGTAATATAACGGAGGAAATAACGGAAAGGAAACAGAGACTGACTGTTACTGAGGACTAAATTTGAGGGTAAGAAACATGTGTGAATTTTATACTGAAAAATATTGCAATTGAAGCAGACGATTTCTGGTAAATTGGCGAACAGTTAAGCCAAATAATTCTCATTAATATTAATGAGTATTAACCTCTGCAAATTTAAACTAATTCATGTGTCCGAAATCAATTATTTCATTTTATTTCATGATTTGGCGAGTCTAGTAAATGAAAAATATTGACGGCAAAGGAAATATCCTTTAGATTTAAACTTATGGGGTATGAATTCAGGGTCTAAAACCCAGGCTATTCAATTTCGAAGCTTCCACTCAAACACTAAAATTTCATAACGCATTTCACTGAATAATAATTTGTCAATGGCCAGGTTTTTAATTTAAAGGCTAAAAATGAATCACTACCTATAGAATTTATTATAATATTCCTATTCGAAAATTGTGGCAATTGTCTGTGGCCGATCATGATTACCTGACCTCTCTGCCTCGAATTTATTGACTTACTCACTAATGATGCATACTTCAAATTATCTAAATTAAAGAGCGCAAATTATCTAATTTTTGATTAAATTTTTAATTTTTATTGGGGTGGGGCCGTTATTTAATTTCAAACTGCCGTGCAAAATTTTTCAATTTCGAACGAGAAGCACTTATTCAATGTCAAATTTGAGACCAAATTGTTTAATGATTTATGTGGTGCAGAAACATATACTTTCAAGTGCAGGGTGAGATTGATTAATAGAAAATTTAATTGAAAAATTATTTGCTGTGAACTACTGTGCACAATTCTATAAATTACACATCGTGCAATTTTTTTAGCATTAGCCATATCCAGTTGCCATAATGCAGCACAACATGCCGAAAACGTTAAATAAGTTTCATGAACTTGATGGTTAGAATTTAAGAATGTACATAAAAACGTGCAATATAAATAAATATATTGTGTTTAAGAAACGAAATTTTGCGTTCATGATCTCGCGTTATTCCATCATTTTAATATTTGGCTGTTTTCATAGAATTTTCATAATTGTGATGTTATTTAGCTTCAAGATTATTATATTATTATAATTTACGCGCGTTGTTTATTTCCAGTGTTATATTTGTTATTTTTATTATAAATTAACATTAATATACATTAACGTCATTATTGCAAGACTCGCAGTATTGCTTATAAAGCGTTTTTCAGACACTGAGAGAAATGAGTGGGTCATTTGGAGTGACACAGATTCTTATTTTTTCATAGTGTGAAACACGCCTCAAGTGTGACACACTTTCTTACCCACACCACGAGCAGAGACTGAACTTACACGGCCCTCTGCCTGTCCAAGTGGATCAGGATGACCCGTATAGGACAAAAACTGCATCACTATTAAGACAAAGTCTCACAAATTTGAATGAATGTCTCGTCGTTAACTCAGCAGAAATACTTGAAATAAATTAAACCTATGAGCAAAAATTGTGCTCAAAACACAGCTTGTTTTTAAAATTTGTTCCCACATTTCAGTAGAAGCCAAAGCATTAGTCGAAAAAAACAAACAGAAAATTTAGTTAGTGGGGATTCGCTGTAAACTCTCACCTTTAAGTAGTAACTGGAAATAAGTTTTTATGTTGAATGATTATTAAATTATCGTAGTAAATAAATGAAAAAGATTTGTGTTACTAAACGACCAGAGGAGAATAAAGATGTAAAATAAAGCTCGTGTACATAGCTTCATTTTCTGGTATTCCTGTGTCCCTTTTCTCTGTGTCAGTGTGAATTTCCATGTGTGTATTTCCCGTTTCTGAATGTATTTTTCAAGTATTTCCATATGTACTTTTGACCGTATTTCCGGATCCAGCTACTCGTGTGATCCACGAAAACTCCGTATTTATGTATAGATGTGTGAGATAAATATCCAGGTGGATTTTTCCTCCAAGTTTCCCTTTCGATTTTCATGATAAACGCCTGTTGGATCTTGTATGTATTTTTCATACACATGGCCCAAGTATTGAAAATAATATTAATACATTGAATTTCGCATTGAGAAATTTGAGCGAATGGCTAGCTAGATTTATTATTTCAGATAATTTTTGCTTTTATCCTGTTCTACCAAAAAAGAAAATTTCAGCATTTCGGTAGAAAAAAATAGACAACGCTTTACATGACAATAAATTTTGGGTATTTAGTCTCGCAAAAAAGGTACACATTGTGTTATATGAGAAAAAGTTTCTGTTATTAAGATACAAAACGCACATCGTTTTACATGGCGAAACATTTATGCTTTTAATATTGGAAAAGTAAGCAATGTTTTACGTGCCGATAAATTTTTCGGGTTTACGGCTTGACAAAAAGTATGCAACGTTCTGCAAGCCGTAAAATTTTTGTATTTGATTTAAAAAAATTATACAGTGTTCTACATAAGTAACGAAAATTCTCTTTATTTTTAATGCTGCACAAATTAGACGATTTTTTACATGACGACAAAGTCTTTGCATTTTTAGCATACAATAACATGTTATGCATCGTAAAAAATTTTTATTTTAATCTGAAAGAAAGTAGACACCATTCTATCCTGAGGCATGATAGAGTATACAATTAAATAATAGGATCTGGGTTAACCATTAATATAATGCAACTATTGATTGCACTGGAACTCCCCGTAATGGAAACCCCAAATAATTTGTTGATGATATTCCCCACAATGTGATCCTGGTTGAACTAATAATTACACAACTAATAGAATAATTGATTCCAATTAATTTAATGGGAACGATTGTCCTCCATGAGTGAATCTGGAACTCGAGTTACACCGAGAAAGATGAATGGGTAATATAGTCAAAATAATGAAATTCTTGATTACCAATCAACAGCAAAAGCCGTGAGTGGACATAGCACAAATAAAAAATAGATAAAAGATCATTTGCAAAAAAAAAACTTAATAAAAGCTCATATGCAATAAAAAAATAAATAAAAGCTCATTTTCGAGGCCAAACTGAGTCAGGATTACCCCAAAAAAGGCAAAAAGTGCACCAGTCTTTGGACAATGACCATCATATTTCTGTGAGATCTGTGCCAACAAACTCATTCTTTAATTATGTGTCGCGTGCTTTAGGAAATAATATTTTATTTCAAGAAATGAAACTTATCCAAGCCACATGTACCAATTTGCATTAAGCTAAGCCCCACTTCCCCAATTGTTGGGGTGACTGCATTTGTTCTCTGTGTGTAAAATAAGGCGATCTCTTCTCGAATTCTCAACGTGTTTTGTAAATAAACATGTAAACAAATATGCCTATAATTAACATGAATTATTATAAATGATTTTTGTGCATATTATGGAAGAAATTATGATGAATGAATGATGATGAAGCAGCACTGGGAGCATTTTTTCTTTTAACTGAAAAATAAAGCAAACATTTTAGTTGCAGTCAAATAGTTAATGGAAATCTTATTCTTCATGCAAAATTGCAACACCGAAATTGAAAAATTACAAATTTCCTTGATAAAATTGATAAAAATTTTGCAATATTGGTCCTAACGATGTAACTTTTAAAAAGGCATGTAAGGAGTTCTAAAAACTTGTAGGTTCAACTGGCCACTACGTAACTGGCAACTAAGGGACTGGCCACTAAGGGACTGGCCACTAACTGCCAACAAGGCAGCAATCCAAGCCATTTGAGATCGGCGTGCTCCCTCTGACCCTCGTTTGCTGCTATTTGTTCCCCTCACTCCCTATTTTCCACTCACTCCCTCACCCCCCTAGCACCCCACACCCCTCACTTCCCTCATTCCCCTCACTTACCTCACTCCCCTCACTTCCCTCACTCCCCTCACCCCCACGATGATCGCTCGTCGCTACAACTGCCCTCTGGGACGATCCCGAAAAGATGGACTCGATATGCAATTGAATGAGACGCTCCCAGGGGAGTGAGGGGAGTGAGGGGAGTGAGGGGAGTGAGGGGAATGAGGGGAGTGAAGGGAGTGAGAGGAGTTAGGGGAGTGAGGGGAGTGAGGGGAGTGAGGGAAGTGAAGGTATTGAGGGGAAAGGTTGAAAAGGTCAGTATGGAATTACGCGAGAGGTTGAGTGGAGAATGGAGGAGTTGGGGGCATATATGTGGGGAGAATGGTGGGCTGGAAGAGGAAGACCAAAAAGTTCCTATTGTTTGGTGATTTCGATGGACTTCAGGACAATGAAGGGCTAAATGGAAAAATTTAGAATAAAAGTACGTAAATCCTACGGTCACCCAATGAATAATTACGGTCACCGTATCAATGCATACGAAGAAGTTCGGATGTAGATACGGTCCCCGTATACGGTGTCCGTAAGCCTGTCAAGTGTTGACAGATAATTGACAGTGTCGGCACGACGCCGGAGTTAGTGAAGCGACGACCCCTAGAGGAGGGCGGGGACCCATCAAGTGGGAAGGGGGGTTTAACCCCTTCAAAAGAAAGGAGGGGTGGTGACCCCGCGAGTCTAGAGGAAGGGGGTGAACCCATCAAGCAGTGGTTAACCTAATAGGAACTGTAGTGCAATGGTACTGTACTAACCCAGCAGGTAAAGTCAGGTTGAATCAACGTTGAAATAACAAAACTAACAACGTTGAAATAAAGTTGAATATTAGTTTTGAATGAAAATTGAATCAACGTCTTTTTTTCAACGTCGTATATTTAGACATTGTTTCAACATTGAAATCGCGTTATATTCCGACTTAAAAATCGCAGATATATTCGCCATTTTACCGTCAGATATCAACCAGATTTCAATTTGAAATAACGTCGAAATTTACGATGATGAAAAAAAGAAGTTGATACAATTTTAATTCTAAAGTAATATTCAACTATATTTCAACGTCGTGAGTTTTGTTGTTTCAGCGTTGATTCAACCTGACATTGCCTGCAGTGAAGCTATCTACACACTGTAGCACTGGTATTAGTGCAGTGGTTAGCACCACAGTTTATGCGCAGAATTGGCGTCACCGAGATGCGAGGAGCAAGGCGGGGGTTCGAGCCTCGGGGATCTCAGTTGATTTCTCGGAATCGCTGATGGACGGCGCTTGGTCGTCGTCAAAGGTGGTGCTTCCAACATAGTCTTGGGTGTGTGACCACACGAACTCTCGGTGTGTGCTACCTGGGAGGAACTTATTAGGGTCCTCAGGTCATCACCTCCTAGTGGGGGT